TTTGTAATACAGTTGTATTTAGTAAGCTTTCTCTCTTCGGCCGCTTTACATTTGCACACTCCACAATAGTTAATCAGAGAAGAGGAAAGAGAAAGTGAAGAGATATATATATATATAGAAAAAAAAAAAAAAAAAGAGGGAAGATGAGCATCTCTTTCTTATTTATATAAAACTCTAAAGAATCGTGCATATAATAATTCATTCGAGTAAGTTTTTTTGCTTTTTTTCAATCAACCTTGACTTGTTACAAAAAAGAAGAAAGAAACAAATATATATATTTCTACGATGAGAATAGTCGACAAGTGCTGCTATTGATGTCCTTGTCAATGATAAAAAAAAAAAAAAAAAAGAAAAGAAAGAAGAGAATGTTATTGAGCTATGTGCTCATGCTTGAGGGTGAACTTTTCATCTCACGTAATTATCATAGTTACACACCTACATTTTTTTTTCTTTTTTGTGTATTTATACATTCACAACGTATCTAATTAAATGTCTTCTTTATCACATGATCATAAAATTTATAAGGATCATATATTTATCTTTTTTTTTTTATCATTCTAGATTAATATGCGAAATCATAGTACATCTTGGTTATCAAAAAATAAAACAATGATAGATGATTATTGTAATTTAAATTTACCTATTGACTATGATTTATATTGGCTTATTGGATATGTATTACTTGCTTTTATTGGATTATTTTATGCACTTTTAGGTAAAATTTTTATTTTTGTAGAATTTTATACAAATAGAAAATAAATAAAATTTTACTATTAGGTTATCGTTGGTGGCGTTTTACAATGTTTGTAACATCATTTAGTCTTGGATCACTTTTACTTTATATTATATTATCAACACAACCAACAATGACTGAATCACAATTAATTGGTGTATCATGTTCAATAGCAACATTATTTGGTTTAATTGGTGCACTTTTACAATATGTTGGTTTATTTATAAATGGTTTTTGTTTTGGTTTAACACTTTCAATAACAACATTTATTATATTAGATATTAAAAATCGTGCTAATGGTATAACAACATCATTTTGGTTACCTATTGGTCTTATATTATTATTAGGTTTAATATGTGCTATAATAACATTACGTTTTCAAAAGATAATGTTAATTATAACATCATCATGTTTAGCAGGTGTATGTCAAACACTTGTTTTAGATTATTTTCTTCAATCATCTGTTTTACTACATTTTATTCATAAACGTTTATTATTTGAATCAACATCAACATTATGTATTCGTCATTGGATAATAGCTTTTATTTTACCAATAATAATGTTGTTTGGAATTGTTATACAATTTTCATGTACAGGAAAAAATTATGATCATAGAGATTCATGGCAAAGAGGTATGTAACTATACAATTAAGAGAATTAGATGATTTATATGTAAAATATTCGATATCGTGTATTGTAATAGTAATATTGGAATTAGATTAAGATTAGGAAATGAAATGTCAATTTATCAACTTGATGAAGGTTTTTTTTTTTGTTTCATATAATAGACCAGAAAAAGCCTTCACATTAAGATTTTTCTTTTCCTAAATACAAAGATTCTATAAATAGAGAATTTGATTATCTTATTGTTTATATCGAAATAGAACTTAGCTTTAATGTTAAGTCTATGTTGCCTTGATATTTGATAAATATTTGTAATTTATGAATAAAAGAAAAATCTCTTGTGCATAAATCCTATTGACTTATTGATCATTTATTATTCTTCATATCTTTTTATATTGAACATTTTACACGCAACATTTAATGTTGACTTCATCTTATGTCAATATAAGAGTTTGACCAGCTTGATAATGAATGCATATGTTTGCTATTATTCTTTTTTTTTTTTTCTTATAAGATTGAGTGCTATATGAACACTTGAAAATAACTCACGACATATGTCTGTATTGTTCATTTAAATTAAATATCGGTTTTCATTATTTGTTTTGTCTGAAGAAATAATTTCATGTTTAATCAACTGTTTACGATACATTTCTCTTGAGATGTTCGTTTTTTTTGTTTTCATTTATAAGAATATTAACCTTGAACATGAATATGAAGTGAGTTACTAGGCATGTATACTTATCATAAGTAAAAATATACACATAGTACAGACTATATATATATATATATAGATGTTATCATTAGTATACAGAAGCTTATTGATAAGAACAAATCTATTGTCGATACAATAAAATAAGATTGATTTCAATTAGTTGATTATATTTTAATTAATGTAACGATAAAATAAATAAATATAATACATCTTTCGTATGTTGATGTCGAGACATTCATAATTAATAAATAAACTTTTTTCTTTTTCTGTATATATTATATGGTTAATTAGATTGTAGACAAAACTAATGGAATTGTCTATGCATGTTGAAAACAATAGAATAAGACAGAAAAAATTATTCTCTTTTATTTTTATTCATAGACATGAATAATGAAAGAAAAGAAAGTGAAAAATTAAATTATGATTATTATTTATATTTTTAGCTATTAGTGCAGGCAAAAAAAGATATAAAGCAACAAATTTTAAAAAAATTCGACATCATTATCATCAAGATACACTTCGGGAACATATTATACCTGATGAAAGTAATCGTTTTCGTTATTTTTATCATATACGACGTACAAATGGTGATGCATTATCATCGGTAAGTGTAAAATTATTTATGAGAAAAATTAAAAAAACAAAAAAAATTTTCTTTTTCTTTATGTCAAATGATATATCGTTTGTGTATATATTTGTTCATTGAATACCATAGTTATTAGTATTAATAGATACATGTGAATATGTCCTTTAATTCGAGGACTTGATACCAATACATGTCAGTTACAGTCGGACAACTTATCTTTTATATACACATATGAACTCGAGTATATTATATACATACAAAAGTTGTCAACAACTATAGGTTATATTTATCTCAATCATTAGTCTTTTTCAAAGGAGATCAGGTCAAGGATAAATATTCTCTCTTATGTAAATAGTTCACAGTTGGAAAGAAAATGAACGATGAAATCAAATATATTTCTATAGACATATTTGTTCATTGATGTAAGATATAAGAATAAATAACTCAGTAGGTATTTTAAATCTCTTTCTATTTATGTGATATAACAATTTTTATTCATACAAAATATATATATATATTATGATATTATAGGATTTTATACAAAATGTACGTCAACAAAATTCATCTACAGTTCATTTAACTACTACTAATAACAGTAATAACAATAATCATACTAGTCAACCTGTTGTATCATCTACTGGTGGTGTTACAACAAAAATAACAACAAAAACAGTAGGATCAACACGAAAAGATACAGACAGTACAACAACGACATTAACTCATTTAATGTGATGAATATATTGATTTGATTTTTTATTTCAAATTCATTCAAATATTGATATAATATGCTCTTTTTTTTTGTATTTCTTTCTTTATTCTTGTAATTATATTTCCCATTTTTTAATATTCAGGAAGTGTTTTTATTTTACTATATACATATATATATATATATATCAATATTTGACAAAACAAATAAAGTTGTCTATATATATATATACACATAAGTATATAGATAAAAACTTGACTTATTTTTATCTGATAATCAAGAAATACAAAATATTATAACAGTAGAAGTTCATAATTAATTGAATATTCAAAAAAAAAAAAGAAAAATTCGAACAAAGAATTGCTATACAAAAATGATTATCTAAATATAACTGAAATTATCACGAGTCTGTCGAGGTCATAACTTGTTTCATTCATATCTATTATTATAACAGTATTAAATTTAATAGTAGAATGGATATAGATATAGAAATTACCATAATATGATTCTATCTATAATGAAAGTCGAATATCTAAGTCTCATGGTGATCTTTAACGGCAGAATGAGATATTTGTAGGTTAATAGAGCAACAATTCTTTTATCTAGTATTATCCAGTTCTATTGCGTATCGCTGAGGTATTAATCAGAGGCGCGCCACCTCCGCATTAGTCGACTGTAACCGCGTGACCAAAGGTAGCATTCTTTGTTGATATTTTCGATGGTATGCAATCATACTTGATTATACATACATCATTATATAAAGAAAATCTTTCTCTTTTCTAACTGACATTTATTTCATTTTGTGCCTTGAGAATTCGTATAGTCACTTTTAATTTTCAAACTTCAATCTCATTGAATCATATATATAGAATGAAAGATCATAAGTTTCTATTTTGTGTATGATTTGATACAAGTGGTTTCCATAAAAAAAATTTCCTAGTCGATTATTTCAATTTGATCGCAAGAAAAATTTATAACATACATAAATCGACATAATTTTTTATGTTGTTTCTAAATATGATATTTATTCGAAGAGAAATGGATATCATTCTGCTTGACTACTATCAAATATCAGATGAAAAAAAAAAACAAAATTTTTAATCTCTGATATAAATGCAAATCAAATGATATTTCGCCCATAGAGAGATCTATTTTCAGCTCAACAAAAAAAAAACAAATCAAAAGTTCTTAGTGAAAATTTTCGATTAATAGTATGCACTTGTTTTCGTTTTATCAATATCAATTTATAGCACATATTAATGATTATTCTTCTTTTTTGTTTTGTTTTATTGATTTCTATACATTTACATATTTCAACTTTAAATTTATTATGATTAATATTTTTTTTGTCTGAATAATATTGAAATATCTATTTATATATCTGCGCGCATACACAAGTGAATAAAGAAATCACGTGGACTTATTTAACGATTCATAAGCAATATTTATAACTAAATATAATCACAAAAAAGAAAAATATATAGCAACATACAGAATCATTGAAGCATAACTATTCAAGTAATGATGAAAGAGAAAAACAAACTATAAACATTATACAATTATTTGATATACAACATTTCTTTTTTTTTGTTTGTTTGTTGTCTTCAAGTTACATTATCCTTATATAATTCATATAAAAATGAATTATTTATTATTAAGTTTTATTTCATTATTTACAATAATTAATAGTAGTTATAATCCAATTCCAACTGGAGCTATTATTATATCTACTATAAATAAAATATATATTATGCAACCACAAGAATATAATGGAAATGATCAATTAACTATTATATTTACAGCACCTTCAAATATGAATATTATTAATACTATATATGATTCTGTACTACGTAATCTTTATATACTTTTTACAAATGAAACAAATGGTAGTATTTATTTATGTCAATTAATGAGTCTTGAAACACTTGATTCAACTATTTATCAACTTCCAATTAAATATGATATTTCAAATATAAATAATTTAACTTCATTTACATCGGATGTTGATAATCGACGTGCTTTATTTACAGATCAAATGGGTAATGTTAACTTATTTTCTATGAGTGGTTTAATGCAAATTAATATATCAATACCAACAACAATTATAAATACTGTACGTTCAGTAAATTATGCTGAAACGATAAATCGATTATTTATTATAACTGATACAAAAATAAGTTCATGTACTAATTTTAATCAAAATAATCTTCAATGTTGTCAAGCACCACCTCAATTAAATCAACTTCGTTCAATAGCATTTGATTATATATCTGGTGCTATATATGTTTATGTTCTTGATTATACAACAGGTATTTATCAAGTTGTTTTAGAATCAAATGGATGTCCAAAATCTGTTCGACCTTTAAATTCACTTGGAACTTATAGTAATATTCAATTTGTTATTGATCATGGTTTATATTTTGCATCGGGAAGTAAAGCAAATCAAAATGATAATTCCATATTAGTTATAGCTAATAGTACACAAACACCACGAGATATTTCTATTGGTTCAAGTATTGTTGCATTACATATTTCACCTCCAAGTATTCAATCAACTTTAAATAAAGTAGAAACTTGTTTTCATGGTATAACCTATTCTGATTATCGTGTTGCCGTTATACTTGCAGCTGTATTTGGTACAGTAATGGGTATTTTTATGTGTTTTAATGTATTATTCTGTATTGATTTCTTTATGACCAAGAGTATTATACGTAATTTGAAAAAACAAATACCACATAATTTATTAGAAGATCGATGGAATAAATTAGTTGAAGAAAAATATGCAAAATTAGCACTTGAAAGTAAATCTAATTTTCATAAATTAAATCATTTAATATCTAATGTATATTTATTTCTAGAACAACGACAAACTGAAAATCCAGAGCCTAAACGTAAAGCATCTATATTCGAACGAAAAACTCCAGTAGTTATTCCTGCTAGTAGTGGTACAACTACTCAAGTTAGATCAGGTACTACAACTAATGATGAAATTCCTCGTATATCTATTACAAAACCAAAAATAACTGCATATCTTCGACGTGCAAGTGATAATTATTTTAATCGTCGTCGAAGTGTAGAATATCAAACTTATCAGGATCCACCACGTTCTGAATTTAGTGCAACACAATTAAGTTCACCACGAGTTCAAATACAACCAAATCAAAGTTATATTGAACCTGTAGCAGAAGAAGACGAAAAGCAAAATCAAGGAGGAAGACTTCGACAAAATCTTAGTGGACAACAATTACTTAAATTTGATGAAGATTTTCTATAGACAAAAGAAAAAATAAAGCGAACTATTTTTATTGCATAAACATTTTCTTTTTCTTTAATTTTATCTTGTAGTTTTTCTTTATATTCAAAAACAAATCATAAAAACATGTAGTTTCATATCAATGTAAAATATTGCGAGTAGATTCAACTATATATATATATATATCAATTTTATATTAAACATTAATTATTCACTTAATCATTAATATTAACTTTTTCTCTTTATACTTGATTTTACATTAAACGAGATGCCTTAATAACAAGAAAACTACTTGCACTGATACTCGTTATTTAAGTTTATATTATGCTAGCAAGGAGATTTGCGTAAGACAAGAAAAATCCTAAACTAGTTCGTGCCCATTAATGACCACCGGATCGGTTCAGGTCTAAAAAATTTTGATCCGACGTGCTCTCGTATCCATGAACTTTTGGAATTGAGTTATGCTAGTAGAATATACTGACAGTTTCAACTGAAACTCGTTGAGTCTGCTCGAAAAATTTTTTGTAACATTCAGCTTTCTTCAATTTTATGACTTGGAAAAACCTATGTCATGATTATAATGACGTTTTCTTGAACTAGGACTCCGCTAATTTCAATTTTTAGCTTGAATTTGTTCTTGAAACTTTTTGATATCGAATTATTAATTTATGAAAATTTATTAAAAGCAATATTCAATAATTTCAGTCAAACTTAATAAAAATAATTATTTTCGTACACTAAATTTCTCTAATCGATATGAACTATTATTATTCGTATGTTAATTTTTTAATCACTTAATTTTCACTAAACTAAATTTTAACAACAAAGTTTAAAAGTCATCTTAATGTTTAAATTAAACAGCTGAAACTTTATATTGATTAAATCACGTTCAAAAAAAAAAAAACTGCTCTGTCCCTCTAATGATTATTTACTTACAACAGATCTATGAATAACTTATAAATGTTTTTAAAAAAAAGAGTATACAAAACATGCATACATGAATATCTTACTAAGAAAATCTTTGCAATGCTTTAAGCCTTCCCCTCAAAAATCGATCTCAGCTGAACAACATTCGAATTGGCTGTAATTTTCAGAATATGTTCGGACTGTAGTGGGAAGGTTATGGTAAAATTTTCAGCTTTGACAGAGATATGAATCAAACAAGGTTCAAAAATAGCAAATTTGGAAAACAAGATTTTTCTGTCAAGGCTGGTATAACACATTTATTTTTTTTTTTGAAAGAGCATGCCAAGATGCAGTGCATCAAAGAGTCCTTTTTTAAAATACTTACTTTTTAAGTATAAAAACAAAAAAAAAGAGATGACAAATTCAAAAACCTCTAAAAAATGACGCCATTTCTATAGAGGTATTCTCGTATATGATAATAAAAAAGCTTATTTAAAAAACAAAAGGATTCTTTGGTGCACTGCATCTTGACATGCTCTTTCTAACTAAAAGAAAAAAATTTTAATGTGAACTTGGACTGAGAAATTTTGTTTATGCGTTCAAAATATCATGAATTGAGAAAAAATACGAAAAAGATTTTTGGTTCTTTTTCAAAAGTGGCTTATTTTTCGAATAGAAGATAGCAAAAATTTTCGAAAAAACAACAGGATACCGAGTAAAAATTTTTATCATTTATGAGAGATCAGTTCTCATGGGCTATCTTCTCCTGTATTTATTGCAATTTCGATCATTCTGATGAAAAATAACTTTTTTGAGAGATGTCTTAATGTCGAGATGACTTGTTCATCTTGTATTATATTTAGATATCTTCATATTCCAATGTATAATTTTGAAAATTAAATAAAAATTAGAATGCACAATTTTCAAGATCTCATCAAAAAAAAAACTTAGTGCAACAATGATGTGTCATTGATTTAATTTAAAAATGTAAAAATAGTTACAAAAAAAAAAGAACCAATTTTTTATTATTTTTCCATATTTGTATATTATTAGTTGAATTATAATTTTTTTCTTATTAATATTTTTAATTCATTCATATTCTTACCAAGTTTTCTTTCATTTTCATTCTACTTAAGAGATGTTTTCGTATATATTTGTTTTTTCCGTTTTACATTTAGACATAATAAACAGATGCAAAAGTTTACCTGTACCAGACAGACTCATATTTGATTACCAGGCATTTTACTTTAAATTATACATCAACATTAAGAATTGTTTTTTTGTGTTCTATAGTCAGGTCATTTTGTAATACAAAAACACTGTTCATTCAAAGTATTTTGATATTTTTTCAAATGGAATTCTCTATGTGTTGAATGAATTTTCAGCCAAGTATACACATTAAAAAAAAGTCGTTTGTTTCTTTTTTTTTTTTGTATAGTTTGAAGAATGAATGTTTTATTGACACTGAAAATTGAAAGAATACAGAAAAAAACATGAAATTCATGTGAATAATTTTCATTTATTTAAGTCTTTTTGCGTTCTATTGTCTTTTTTTGTTAAGTCGTCGACAGTAACAACGACATTTTCAACGTGTAAAAGTTTGACGCTGTCTTCTTTTTTTTTTTTTTATTTTTGTGAATCAATAAAACAATATTTTTTTATATATTCAGATTTGAATATTGTTTGATGAAAGTATGTTTTCTTTTTTTCTTCTCCTCTCTCGGTTCGATTGATTGACTATCAAACATAACGATAGACGAATCTTGGTTTCTATTTTTGACCTCTGTCTTTTTAGTTGTATGTTTGCATCAGCTTGTAGAATTGAGATTCTACTTTTTTTTTCTTTCTCTATTATGATCAACAGCTGGAACGTTAGACGCATCTTCCATTTGTACTTTTTTTTTTGTGTACTTATATATTGTTTTTTCTGTTTTTGGTTGATATTTTGAATATGTTGTCAACACATTCTAGATGATATAAGATAATAATTATTCATTATGGCAAATCAATTAGATGTATTGGCAACAATTGAAGCTAATCTACAACAAGCAATACAACGTAAAAAACCACAAGAACAAATAAAAGTATTTATAATTGTAATTTTTTAAATATAATATAAAATAAATTTCGAATTTTAGACATTAAAATTTGAATTTGATGGTCAAATTCGTGCATGTTGTTTATCAAAATCATTTACATATTCTGATTTACTTCAATGTATTAAAAAATTATTTGGTCATCGTATATTATTATCAATTGATTTAATTCAATGTTTATTTTCACGTGATAATATATTACGTTTATCAATAACAAATGATGAAGATTTAAATAAAGTACTTGCTATAAGTGAAATAAATGGTTCAAATAAACTTAATTTTCTTTTAATAAGAAAAAAATCTCATATAATATCTCAAATAATATCAATGAATAATTATGATGATTCAAGTTCAATATCTGATGATGGACAAACTATTGAATTTGATGATACTAGTCTTGATTCACCACCACCAGGTACAATTACATCACAAAAATATCGTACAACAACAATACCAAAAGATGGAGGAATTTTTATTCCAGAATCAGTTAGGTTTTTCTTTTTTTTTGTTTTGTTTTTTTTTGTATTGTTTTTTTTTTTCTATAATAGAGTGATGATACATATTCAAGTGGTGGTTCATCTGTTACTAGTCGAGAATCAAGTGGAAGTGAACATAATTCAAGACGACGTTTACGAAGTAATTTTCTTTTTTATTTATTTCAAATTCAAATATGTATATATATTAATATTCTTTCGTATTTCATAGATACATCTTTTGTTAGACTTCGAGCATCATCATCGAATACAAGTAGTGGTAGTGGAATAAATTCAAGTAGTAGTTCATCTCAAACAAATTTATGTGAATCTTTACGTACACAATGTTCTTGTTCTGGTCAACAATATAAATGTAATAGAATTATATCAAAAGAATAAATAGAGATTTTTAAATAATTAATTGTTTTTTTTTTTTTTTGCTAGCTCCACAAACACCGACAAATTGGAAATTAGGTCGACAATTAGGACAAGGTAAAATATAAAAATAATGAAATAATACAAATCATTAATTTTTGATTTTAATTAATATTCATAGTTTAACTAAAGATATGAACATACGAAAGCTTAATCTCAATAGAAATTTTATAATAAAATTCTTTGTTTTTTTTTATTTCCTAGGTGCGTTTGGCCGAGTTTTTCTTTGTTATGATGTTGATACTGGTAGTGAATTAGCAATAAAACAAATTTCTATTCGTGGACTTAATTCTGAAACTACAAAAGTAAATGAATTCTATTTTAAAATATAAGAAAAAAAAAAACAACAGTTTTTGTTTTGTATTTCTTTTCTATTCATATATAAAGGAAGTAAAAATTCTTGAATGTGAAATCAATATATATAAACAACTTGATCATGAACGTATTGTTCGTTATCATGGTGCATTACAAACAGATGATTATTTCCAAATATTTATGGAATTTATGGCAGGTGGATCTGTACGTGAACAAATATTAAATTATGGTGCATTAACAGAACAATTAACAAAAAAATATACAAAACAAATACTTGAAGGTCTTATATATTTACATGAAAATCATTTTGTTCATCGTGATATTAAATGTAATTAAATATTAGTTATATTTAAATAAATGAATAAAAATTTTTTTTATTATTTAAGGTGCTAATATTTTAAGAGATATATCAGGTAATATTAAATTAAGTGATTTTGGTACATCAAGACGACTTATTGCTATTACCAATCAAAATCAACCAGATTCAGGAACTATTGGTAAGATAGATTTAAATAGATAAACGAAATTTTTTTTGTCTTATATTTAAGATAATTAATATACAAATACAAATAATGTATAAGTTGAGTAGAAATTGTTGTCACTTTAAAAAAAAAATAATTATCTCATTTTGAATTGCTATTTGTTTTATGTATATTTGTCGTAGTGTGTGTGTGTGTATATATATATATATACAATTTGTGTAGATATCGATAGAGAAATATAGAAAATTTGATCAAGATTTGTATTAAGGATTTCGAATTATTTCTATAGGGACAGCTCATTGGACAGCACCAGAAATAATTCGCGGAAGTATTTTTGGACGTAAAGCAGATATTTGGTAAGAAATTTAAATTGATTAAAAAGAAATATGTATTGCTTTATTTATTTATTTAAGGAGTCTCGGTTGTACAATAGTTGAAAGTAAGTGAAAATCGAATTTATTTCGATAGATATATTATATATTAAAATTTTTTTAGTGCTAACTACTGGTCCTCCATGGCAAAATTTACAACCAATTGCAGCTATATTTCATATAGCTACTTGTGAAAAACCTGAGTAAATAAAAGCAAAAAACAAAAAGAAAATAAATTCTATCATATAAATTTATTTAATAATTCTAGATATAAATTACCAGAAAATGTATCTCATTTAGCGAGAGAATTTATTGATACATGTTTAACAAAAGATTATCATCAACGACCAACAGCAATAGATCTTATGCGTCATCCATTCTTAGATAATGTTCATTTTCATCATTGTCATCATGACTCTCTTCAATAGGTTTACACACACACACAAAAAAAAAGAAGAAATTTTGTTTATTTTATTCTTCAAGCAATCTCATTCAATGTTCTTGGTGTTGATACTCTTTGCGTTTATTGTATTTCTTATTTATTTGATGTGAAAAAAATTTTCGCATAGTTCGACATGAAAAGAAAAAAGAAGCCATTGGATGTAAATATGTGACTTTAAATTTCGATAATGATGATGATAGTCGATGTTTTACTTTTTTTGTCTTTAGTCGTTTTATGAAAATAAATTTATTAAAATTAAGTTAAATTGTTTGACTGATATTTTCTTCCATATATCATAGCGAGAGATGTATGAATTCAAAATATTTTGGTTCCAGTTCTGGGAAATTCTTTTCTAGGGGTGCCGTTTATGGCAGAAATACATTTAATCTAGTCTTGATTCCATTCTAGAGAAACCTATATCAGAATTTATTTGTATTACATCTAAAAAAAACACTCTCCAATTGTGTTCTGATTGAACAACTATTCTTCTCGTAGTCTCAATCATGTTTTCGGCCTTGGTCCCTCACATCTTTAATTATCATACAATTCAAAAAAGACCATACAAGAATCTTTTTAAAAAACAATATTGTATGATAGTGATTTGCATTCAATGCTTTAGAATAAAAAACACATCTTCATCGATATTAAACAACATGTAAATAGTTTTTATTAGTCATATTTTGAAGAAAACCTATTAAAAAATTTTTTTTCGACGATTTCCCAGTGTTTAAAAATGTCCGAACGTAGGGTCTTTTCATTTTTAAAATATTAATGCCTTGCAAACCAGAGCATTTCTGCAGTCGGTAGCATACGCATTCGGTTGGGTGTGGGTGTGGATTATCTTGTCATCGACACCCATACTCGATAAGTCTCAATGCCTCATGGCAAAGGTATCTGGGAGTTCTGTTGAGTTGGGCGTGGGTGTGAATCTTCTCTTGATCCACACCCACATCACCCACAGCTATATGCATACACCACCACATCTACACCCACACTCACATTCACCCTCGACTAATTTCAAAACGATCGGTGTTGTTAAGCGCTGACAGTTTTAGAAGAGAATTCGATTGATATCATGCTTTTCAAGGAACAGTGTTTGTGCTGTTTTTGACATATAATTTGTGATATTGACTTTTATTTTGATATCAAAAACAAAATCGATAGAAACAATAGCAAGGAAGTATACCAAGAAAAATGTAGACATAATGAATGTCTTGCGTATTTTATTGTGATGATGATGAGGATTCGTTTTTCTAACTCCATAATGATTGTAAATATGATTATGGTATTGGAAGGGTACATATTGGCACGCATACTTGACAAGTACCAACAACACCTAAAGATGCCATGCAAGACGTTACGCACGCAGGTATTGCACTCCAACCGATTATGGGAATGAATGCACCTTCAGCACCACAACAAGCAGTGCAGCAAGCAGCACATGATACGAAGAGGCCATTCGCTAGAGAGATTGAATATAGGAGGAAAAGTAAAGCTACTGCTTTGTAATGTGAATACATCTTGTTGACGATTGATCTGTTGACTATTTTGGTTGTCTTTTGCTGTGAGTGAGAAGATGTATTGACTAGATATCTATATATACTACTAATATTCTTCATCAATTTCTCGCAGTTTTTTCCTAGTTTGAATAACTCATCAAAATTCAGCATCAAACTGGGGAAAAACTTGAGCAAAAAATGACCTATAAACAATATTGGAAACTAAACTGACGTAAGTTTGTTATCAACCATTGTTGCTTGGCTTTTGCCGATTTTGAATGAGATATCAGTGTGATAATACGTAACAGAAAAAAACCCATTATTAGAAAAGAAGCAGAACGGAGAAATACTGTAGAACTACGTGCGACTTCTCTTTTTCTTTGAGTATCCAAAAATAACCTGATGCGATAAACCAACAGTCGACAGTGCCAAGTCTCAACAGCCACATCACGATATGACAAGATTGTATTCATAACTCGACAATTACCGCCGTAGTCTTGCATATCAACTGATGCCTAGTTCACTCTCAATCTAAGTATATCCATATTTTAATTATTTACCATTGAATTCAATTAAACATGGCTCTGATAATAGAACGATTGCTAAATATGATGTAAGCGAGTTTTTCTCATAGACATGAGTGTCTTCACGTTCTGGCAGCTCAAAGTATACAGATTAAATGGCAGTTTATTTGAATAACCTTGTCGTTTTGGAAGTCGATCAGTTGTTGTTCGTGAAGCATATATTAGTCGAAATATATGGATGTTGTCGGCGCTTCGAACTCCATGAGAAATCCGCTCAAGCTTGGAGACATGGTAACTAAAAACCTTTTCATTTCGATGAAGATATCCTTCGCATCCCTTTTACTCATTTACGTTGGACATTGATTGATTGTGGTATTATGTATCAATATAATATAACTCTCAAGATCAGATCCATCGTTTACGAGAATTAATTTTTAATACATTGTCAAACGGTCAGTGAATCTAACTGGAAACATGATACTGAGAAGTGATGATTAAAATGAATAAAAATGGTTTTATTTTCATTTCAAAATTAGAAGAGCTTAAAAAATAGCAGACAGGCTTTTAGGTTACAGTTTGATCTGATTGCATAGGGCACATATGATGATTGTCATCGAAGAAAAGAGTTTTTTTTATTCAAGATTAATACTTTTTCTCCCATTCTCGATCGATGATTAGTAGTGATGGGCGGAAGTGCATTCGAATATAGCGAAATACTCTGTGTGACATCTCTTGTAAGAAAGAATGAAGGAGAAATTATCTGACGTTATCGTCGTATCTTTCTTCGTCTACCTTCAAGTATATGCGAATCTCACAAATATATTTCTCTCTTTCTGTCACAATAGAACTGCGTTCATTGACGAGTCTTTCGATTGATATTGCATTGTTTAAGTGAATTGATTTAAACAAGCTCGATCATCAGTTGAACAAGCGGTTCATCTTGCCGATAATCTCATTCAACCGTCTTGCTTTTGTGGGGTATGGGTGTGGATCCTCTCTTCAACAGTATTCAAACCCACACTCTACATTGTGACCCATATCTTGACCGAAATAGACAAAAACAAAAGAAGTGACACGAGTTCACTCTTCTTTCTCTAAACTTCAATACTAATTTACAGTCATGTTCTACAAGATCTAGAGAAAAAAAGTTCTGTTCGTGGTTTCAATAAGTGTATCACATGAATCATCAGAAAAGACAAAGCAACTCCTGTTGTTGTGAATACTTCCTCTGATAAACAAGTGACGAATGATGCAGTTTACTGGGTATCAGCAGTTGGTTTTTTCCAACTGACAAAAGCGACAGAACAATGTCCACACTCAGGTGAAGTGAAGCTGAAGTTAAATAACTTGACTCTTTGACGTATAATATCGATTGGAAGTTTCATTGAAATCCAATGCATCCTATCAACATTCGATTTCGTACACAAGCAGCCTTAAAAACGTTGGCGTCATCAATCATCCAAAATATAGAACGACGACGAACTGAGTGATGAATCTGAAATGATATTTGATGAAATCAAAAGAATGGTTCATTGATTATCTCTCTTGATGTTGTCAATCAGAGCTTTTGTTTATGCACTGTCAGTCAAACAGTATGATGCCAACGAAAGAACTGAACTGATGGACATATATCTGACAATGGATCTTGTAACCAACTGTGAAGTTCATCTTTTGTTGAATCACCCTTTCGCTTGTCATCTTCACAATACACATATGAGAATCATAGATTGGCTGTTGTGTTAACCAGCCAATATATTGATGATCGATGTCTTAAAAGGATATGACGTTCATTCCCCTGCACACCAAGACGTGAATAAATCAAAATCGCACATTACTCTTCATTGTACTGAGCACAGACGTTCCACTAAAGAATGCACTGAGTTAAGGGTACCCGAAAAAACATTCTGTTACCAGTATGTCACAGGAACCTTTGGGTACTGAAGTACTTTTAGGCTATTTAAAGTACTTATGTGGTGCTTCGGCGGGTACCCTGCTAGGGTGCGCGTGAAGGAAAGACACCCACTTCCACACAACTATACCCACTGCCACAGCCACAACCACACCGACACTCATACTCACACACCCACACCCACACTAATGCGCTATTTTATCATAAAAACGTTTCTGAATTTCAAAAAAAAATAGTGCAGAGACAGAGAGTCTTTTTTTTCTGTAATTAATACTACAACAAAGATTTTATCAAATATATTGCTATTTAAAAAAAAGATCTTTTCATAATATTTCATATCATATTGATTCTTTTCAATCTAAGCGAATTTTATTCCACCCTCAAATACATTGAACAGACAAATACATTGATTACAAATAAAAAGATGAACAAATATGTGACACAATTCTTTTTGTTTCTTAACGAACATCAATTCTCATGAAATTATGATAATAATAATAAAAAAAAAAAGAAAACGTATTTCAGTCAAATGCAATGGTGCGCAACCATAATGAAATTCATCTAATACAGAAAAAGAAACATTTTTTAGAATCTTATATGGAATGCTAATCACAAGAATTAAAATATGATCTAATGTATATGTATATAATAACATTGATAAAAAAAAAAAGAAAGCAAAGAACAACATTAAGAGAATATGAAACGATGTTATTGTCAATACAAATCGAACAAAAAACAAAAAACCAAAAAAAGATTTAATGTGCTCCATCTTGATTGTCATCAACATCTAAACCACGTGTAACTTTACTAAAATCAAATGGTTCACCCATATAACGACGATAAACATCAAGAATATCAAGACAAGTTGATTCGAAATGTGTTGTTGCATCATATGAACTTGTAATAAAAAGCTGAACAAACAAACAAAAAAAAATCAGATTTGATTAGAGTAAAAACAAATCATTTTTCTTTTTACTTTGCTTGTTGTTCCATCATCAATTGGTTCATATAAATCAGCAACAGTAACAAATTTTTGATAAATTGGTTCAAGTAAAGCAAGACCAGGTCTAATTTCATTTTCAGGATTATCTGTTTCAACTGTTGTACTAACTAATGCCACATACCAATCTTTTGGTGTAACCATATTTGTTTGACCCATACAACAAACATAAATATCTAAAAAGAAATATTCAATAAATGAAAATTTATTTAATTTTTCTTTTTTTTTTTTACCATTATGACGTTGAACTTGTTTTTGTGGTATAATTATTTGAATTGAACCTGGTGCTGTACTCGATCCAACATTAACAGGATGTCGTAAAAGACAAATAGCTCGAATAACTTGACCAACTATTTTAACTTTATTTGATGCATATGATGGATCACATATAACACTTTTACAACGAGCTATTTGATCATCTGATCGAACACCAACAACAACACCATTTTCATAGACAATTTCATCAACTGGTTTATCAAGCATATATGTTCCACCATAAATAGCACTCAGACTAGAAAATATTATTTATTTAATAAAGACATTCTATATAGATATTTTTCAGTAGCATGAAATAGAACTTGATAATGCATACAATCGCTGATCCTATAAAACGGCGTAATAACGATGTAAAATGTCGAAAAACGACGCCGTAATCCGTCATACCAGATTACGGAAGCAAAACCAAAGGAAAACGATGGCCGTTTTCTACCGATAAAAACGACTCGTAAAACGGTCTGACGGATTACGGCGAAATAAGGTCAAAATTAAAGCAGTAATTCACCGTTTTATAGCCGTTTCAGATCAGATAAGATGCCGTTTCCGACGGTCGGAATGATCGACCTGGGTTATTACCCATGTGCTTCAAACCGGCGGTTTCTATGCTTAAATTTTTTACAAACCCCAATGTATAAATTTTTTTTAAATTCTTAGAAAAATGTCAGATTTTGATCAAAATCACGTCCCTCTTATATTTGTCAACGAGTATAGCTGCAGAAGAACGACACCGCGGCACTCACACTCTTTGATGTGCCCTATTAATTACATCAATTCGTGTGGAGAGTGTTGTATCTCGATTTTTTTTGAATAAATATCGATATTTCAAAGATAGGTAAATAAAATGGTTTTATTAAAAATATTTACGAATAAGAGCTTAAAAGATGGTAAATCATTTCAACCGGCGGTTTTTCCCTAAACCTTCGGCTTTGACAAAAAAATGACGACATGGATAGATACAGAAAGTTTTCGTGTCCTGACCTACATAGATGTCGTTCGAGGATTAAAAATAACCTTGAAACTTATATTTATTCTTACATAATAAACACTGTAGTGTTTATTTTTTTTTTGATGAGAAATATCTTCATTTCTTCGATCTAGAACGTTTGACTGAGCTCAAAATTTTTTTACATAGCTTTTTGTAAAAGAAAAATATGTGGTTTTTTTTAATGAAACCTTTGATATTTTTGCTTTTTTTAATAAAAAAGAAAATGCTCAGCCCGATCTGTCAGCGCATCTAGGAAAAGCGAAGGCGAAAATTAAGGTCATAATGATTCTAGTATTTTATAGAAGATAGTATCCAAGAACTTTCATAACATCATTTATTTAGTCGCCAACTTTTTCTTTGTTCTACGATGATTTTTATTATCATTTGCTTTAGAAAAATATGCTGTTTTTCAGAAATATCTTTTCAAAATTCTCAAAGGACCTTTATTGTAACTAATTGCTTCTTTTATTTGAAAGAACATCTTAAGATACAGGATATGACAAAGTCCGTTACTCGAAATAAACTTTCTTATTATTATATAAAAGAGTAATTATACAATTAGAATAAGAATTCAAAAAGAATGACACTATATCTTGACATGTTCTTTCAAAGAACAATTTAATCAAGTATCTAGAATGAAGATCTATAGAAAATTTTCAGTTGTTCAATGAACTATTTTTCGCAAAGTTTTTCTATTGCAAAAACTTTACTTATCCAGGACGAAGCCAAGCCATCGGATTCTATCGGAAGTCAACGGGAATCCAGCGACCCGGATTCCGGTAAAAAATTCGACTAGATACGGCTAAGTTCTGACTAGATTCTATCGGTTTTCATCGGGCTCCGATGAAATCCGGGTCACTGGATTTTTCGATCTGTGGATGATTTAAAACACTTTTCAAATCAATACATACCGTGCAAAACCTTGTGGTAATTCACCAAGACCATAGAGTGGATAAAGATAAGGTGATTTACCGTAACGTGCTAATGATTCACTGTAAAGTTTAATTCTTTTAATTGATTCTAAAACAGGTTTTTCTAAATAACTAAGCACAAAAAAAAAAAAATTTTATTTTTTTTAATAAAATATTCTAAAAAATTTACTCATCATCACTATGAAGTGCTAAAGCATGACCAGTAAAATCAATTGTATCTTGACTAAGATCATATTTTTTAAATGCATCAATTGTACGTGTATTTGGTGGAGCATCTTTATATGTTTTAGGATCATTTTCATCATAATCATTAACCCAACCAAGTAAATTACGAAAACGTCGTTTTTCAAAAAGTCCCATTAATGCTTAAAGAAAAACAAAAAAAACTAAGATCATTTCCTTTTGTTTGTTTTTTTTTTGTGTTGCTTACATGATGAAAGTGCTTCTTTTTCATCTGCTGGTACTTTATAAATTTTTTGACCTTTGTATACATAACTACCTTCAATACATTTAAATTCAAGATAACGAGTTACACCCGTATGAATTAATAATTTAACAAGAAGACCTATAATATCATATTTAATAGAACATATATATATATATATTTTTTTTCTTTTACCATTAGCCATAAGAAATTTTGGAATTAAATCAACATTCCAATCACGACCACGTCCTGTATCAGATGGTGGTGGTGGTAAATTAAATTTTGTATAAAGCTAAAATAATATTTAAAAAACAAAAAAAATATTCATATAAAAAAAAAAAGAATAATGTATTTACATCTTCTAATGGTGTCATTGATGCTGATTCGCCACCATAATATTTATTTCGATCCATATGTAAAATTTTTTTTCCAGCAACACCAAGTAAACCGGCTAATACACATTCCTATACAAAGATATTTTTAGAATAAAATAATTCGATTTTGTTAGTTTATGCTTTTTTTTTTTTCTATACCTTTAAACCGGTACCTAACAATATAACATCATATTCTTCATCCATGATTAAAAGCTTTTTTTATGAAAAAAAAAAAAAGACGATTGAATCGACTGGTTGATCTGAAAAGAAATGTACTAATATTTAAAAAAGAAAAAAAAACTGACACGAGTACAAATACAAAAATTTGATGACAACGACTATCGGATGATTCAATGAGATGTTTGTTCGAGAGAATAAAGATGTCGAAACAAGTAGCGACAAACTGCATTATTTTAACACATCTTTTCGATTACTATGTCAATTGTAATGGATGTTATACTATTAAATTTTGATTGGTAAATTATTTTTGAGATATTAACGACATCTTCAAATATCTCTGTAATTAATTTATTATATCTACGAACATAAATATTGAATAAATTGTTTTTTTTATGCTAAATATATATATTTTATTTTTATGTCTTAAAAAAAATATTCTTTTCTTTATATTGTCGCTACTATCAATGATGAGAACAATAACCTTTCTTTGCGGTTTAAACTTTTACTATCAGATTTGAATAATTTAAAATTAATAATCATGTCAAAACGAAAGGTAAATTAATCATCAATAATAATAATAATATTTCATAATAATTCTTATATTTATTTTATTAAAGAAAAATGATCCAAATCCTGAGGATGATGATGATGATAATAATAATAATGATTTACAAGATAAACAACAACATCAATTAGAATCACAGGTTATTAATTAATTTAGAAAACAAAACAAAAAAAAAACAAATTTTTTTTCTCTCTCTAGAAAGTCTATGATTTTCATAAAAAAACAATTGAAATATATCCTGAACGTTTACGTGAATTAAATCGACAATTTCTTTCATCTATATCAACACAAATAACTAATGAACCTTATAGTGTACTTGTTGGAAATTGTCTTGATTATGTTCGTCAATATTTTAATTATGAAGATGATTTACTTAAATATTCACCATGGCTTGTAACAAGACTTAAACAAACTCGTTCAGGTTAAATATATATATCGTATACAATTATTGAAATGTTGAAAAAAAAAGCATAAAATTTTTCTTTTCTTTTTTTTAGATATAGTTAAATGTTTACCAGATACAATTGATATTTATGAAGCACTTGCACGACATGATTTTGATCGTATATTTGATAAAAATATTATTGAAATATCATCGAATGATTCAATTACAAATAAAACTATTAGTTCTGGTCAATTAACTACAACATCAGTTCAACTTCGTCCTCCTCCTACAACAACAATAAATTCATCAATACCATCATTTAATTTTACGAAACCAATAACAACAACAACAATGGTTAATGAATCAACATCAGCAACTGGTTTTAATTTTAAAGTAGCTACAACACCAGAAAAAACAACAAATACATCACCATTTTCTTTTAATCTACCAAATACAGGATTGGGAACAGTAAAATAAAAACTATTGTTTTTTATATTATTATTATGACTTCTTTTCCTTTTTGTTTTTTTGAAGTCAACATTTCCTCCGATTAATTTTATTAATCCAATAAGTATAGAAAAATCAACAACTGCTTCAACATCTTCAATAAGTTTTACACCACCAAAATTTACATTTATATCAACACCATCAGTAAGTGGAGAACAACCAGGAACAACAGAAGATAATGAAAATGGTAAAAAATAATATCAAAAGAAAAAGAAAGATATATTAGAAGCTTGTTTTGTTTTTTCTTAGAACCAAATGAACCACCCGAACCAGAAAAAGTTGAACATGAAGCAGATGCTAAATTAACATACAGGTAAGATATTCAATAGAAAGATTTATAATTAAAACAAAAATAAGAAATAAATTTTAAAGTGTATTAACCAAGAGGAGAAAAAAGCGAAAATGTCATACTTCAAGACTATGTTATAAACTGTGCATTAGATCTGTTTAGCTAATTTAAGAATAATGAATTTTATATTCAAATGAAAAAAAGAATTTATAAATAAAAAACTAAAGCATTGAAATTTAGTCACTTTTTGATGGTTTATATCGAACCGAGAATCGCTCATACCCTTATTCGGCACTATTTATAATGTTCGACCTTGTGTATAAGATTGAGAGATGTCAATAAATCATATAAATGTTCTATTTTTATTTCACCAAAAGAGAAATTCAAAAATCGAATCCTGGGACGATCTAGTCCTACCTGTCTACTATGAATTACAATAATATGGTTAGAGATTCATATCATGCCTAAATTGTAGTCATGATTCTTTATACATAGATGTCACTTCATGTCATATATGTTTTTATCAACTTTTTCATTCTTTTGTTTGATCGCGTGACCCTAAAATTTTTATGACATATATAACTAATCAAAATCTTTTAGTTCGAAAAGTTTCATCTCTATAACTATGACTAATGATAAAGTATTGGTTTTTTTGCTGAAAAATGAGGCAAGAATCGAAAGCAAAAACTTATGTATTTTATCATTAGTCAGCTGAAACTTTCAGAACTAAAAAAATCTTGATTAGTGATATATGTCACAAAAATTTCAGATCTCTCACGGTCAAACAAAAGTATAAAAAATATCATTAACACTGTATTCTCAGTTATTATAAAACAACACCCTTTTATGTATCAGTAGCACACATCTTCAGAGAAAAAAAAGATCAATATACACGTTTTGGCAAAACAAATTATGCTAGATTGTAATTCATTACAAGGACTATCAGAAATTGCCGTTTCCGAAGGGGGAGGGTTAAATCATAATGATTAGTCTTGTGCATTGACAAACGTATACGAAAGAAAAAAGACGTAATAAAATGACTCATCAGTTAGTAAAATTCTTTTTTTCAAGAATAGATATTGAGTCAATAAATTATACCTATTTTGATATTTCGACTATGACTCAATGGATATTTTAGAATTTTTTCTCCGGAGGGGCGATTTAAATTTCCGAGGGGGGGGGGGGGGCAAGCCATGTATTCATAGCACGATTAACACGGCGAATTCAATTTTCGGGGAGGCGCCGAGCACCCCTCTGGATAAAACATTGATTTTAAACATAACTTTTTTCTTTCTATCTTAGATGTCGAATGGGAGTAAATAAAAATGGTAAATTAATAAAACGTGGTCCTGTACAAGTTATACTTAAAGAAATAAATGATAAACGTCAATTAATTATTCGATCAGATGATTCTCTTGGTAAAGAAAACAAAAAAAAAAACATACATACACATAAATTTTATATCTTTAATCTAGGTCGTTTATATTTAAATATTTTATGGTCAAAATTAATTGAAATAAAAAAAAATTCAACAAAAGATCTTACATTTATATGTAAACTTAATCCAGGTATGAGTGAAATAACAGAAGGTGAATTTGTTATGATATTACTTCGATTTGATAATGAAACAGAACGTAATGATGCATATGAAAAACTTGGCAAAGAACGTACATAAACTTTAATTTAATATTAATAAACATTTTATCTATGCAGAAAAGAATTTATTCATCTTTTCTATATATATTTCTCTAGGTTAATTTTTTCTTTTTTGTTGTTAACAACGTTCAGATCATAGTTTTTTTTTTTTTTTTTTTTGTTCAATCGTGTATTACGTATAGAAAGAAGACAAAAAAAAACCAATTCTTTAGAATTCTGTCTCTGTCCTTCTTGTTTTTTTTTTGTTAAAGATGTTTGAAAATACGGATTCATCGGATGATAATGATGATAGTTTATCTAAACAAGTTTTACCTACAATAGATGATAACAATGATATGATTGATATGAACAAAATGCCAACAACTGGAGAAGAATATTTGAGACAGGTTCGGTACGATCAATGATTTTCTTTTTTTTCGATTTTAACAAAAAAATAAATCGAAATGAATTGCATGATTATTATTTTATTAATAATTTGATATATTAAAATGTTATTGTATTTAATATTTCAAGTTCTATATTGTTTGAGATTGTTTTTTTAAGAGAAATTATTATAAAATTATGAATCTGTTTTGGAAAAAGAATGTATATCAAATGCTCGAAATTACAAGAAGGAATTTCATCATAACGCGATTATTTAAGATTTGCATAGACCACAGCTAGATTCATCATACTGCTATAAGTACATAATATTAGATGAATAGATTATTTAGAAGTATATGTGAATGCTTATTGATTGCTGCGTTACTTTCGAACTTCAGTAAGAGTCATTGTAATACAATACATACATAACAAATTTACAACTATGAATCTGCAAAATCGCTTTTTTTTTAGTTCCGATCTTTGACAATGGCTTTATTTCTAAAATATCGAGCAACTTTTTTTTTTACAATCTGTGTATTTATCAGATTCTGATAAGACTTAAATAAAGGAATGATCAAAGAATGAACGAATTAAATTTACGTATATAGTGTTACGTTGGTTGTTTTATATGTATTCAAAAGCCTGTGCAATTGGAAAATTTGAATTCTTGCAAACAGACTCGTAATCAATAAAGACTTTTATAGAAATAGAAAATAAAAATATTTGATCTACAGATCTTTAATCATGTCAAAATAATAAACATCAGTGGGTAGTCAGGGGTAGGATCATTGGGCAATTGCCCATAGATATTTCTGAAATCATAACGGTTGTCCTTAGCCGCCCGTAACTCAAAATAGTTCGGCTGATGAATTGCCCATGACTCAAAAATTCCTGGCTACGCCACTGATAAACATGAAAATATATTGCATAAAAAACTGACCGGGATCATTTTGCAGTTCCCTACTATGAACATCATGTAGGTCCTTAAAATTCTGTTTTTAAGGCCACAAATATGAGGATAAGAAAAAATAATTCTTCAGCACGGCTGCAATACTCATCGAAAATGAATTCCAGAGATGATTACCGTCGTCCTTCGTGCCTTGCTTTTTAGGTGCGGTACACATCTCTGTACTTTATTGTATCTAGTAACAAATAATGTTAAAATATTTAAGTAATTAAGTTTTTGTTTTTGAAATGCATTGGAAAATGATTAATATAAAACTCAATAAAATTTTAAATATAATCGATTTATATGATTAATCTTAAAATGTTATTAGAATAATATTTTTGTTGAAAATTTTTTATAAAAAAAAAAAATTCTAAATCAAATAGAGAAATTTCACTTGTCGAAATCTAAAATATCATGCAATAAATTATATTCTTTCATTTTAGTTTTGAAGCTTCAAAATTACCTAATTTTCAAACAGCAACTAAAACAAATCAAAATTTAACAACATCATCAAAATCTAAAAAACATGCTTGGCTTAAATTATTTTCAGTATGATTTTATTTGAAAAAATTATTTGATATATATATATATTTATATTTAGTCAACAAATACTATTCCAGATGTACCAATAAAACATATTATATCAAATGATTGGCAAAATGAACAATGTCTTGCATTTTCTAATGTACGTAATGATTTTTTTCAAATGCGTGATCAATTACGAATAATAAATAAAAAATATCGTATTGTAAAATTAAAAAATATAAATGATTATTGGAAATTTTGTTTTGGTAATGATATTCCATTTCAATCTCCATTATCATCATTAGAAATTGATGAACAATTACAAATACAAAATCCACTTCCAACAATGACAAAAATGATTAGTTTAACTCAAGTTTAAATTTTTTTTTTTTTTTTATATAAAAATTATTTTCGAATAAAACTTTTTTTTTTTACCTCCACTTTCATGAATTATTACAATATGAAATTGATTGGCTTAAACAATGTGGATATTCACTTCATTTAGTATAATCTTTCATTTTTCTCAAATTGATTGATTTTTTGTTTGTTTTTGTATTGAAGGCTTTGTATATATATGCTACATTAGTATCTATTGAAAAACCTATCGATGAAGATGTTATGTATACGATACGACAAACATGTATAGCATGGAAACAAATACGAACGAAATTATTAGTAAGTAAATGTTCGTGGGGAATTTTTGATAGAAATGAGATAGAGATCTGTGGTTTTCACCGTTGAATAGAGAAGATGAAGATGCATCGAATTATATATAGAAAGATTTTTTTTTCTAGCTACTTTTCAATAGGTTTTATATAAAATTTTAAGAAAAACAGCATGTTTCTCATGGTTATGATATTAATTTATTGATTTTCAGGAGTGCGCTAGAATTGCCAAAGGAAGGGCTATTAACTCTGAAATGAACAATAGATAAAATGCATAGTACACATTCTTATCAGATTGTCTTATTTCATATATATTGGGATACAGGTTGTTTTTTTTTACCATTGTTCTTCTTAGCCTTCAACAATACAATAGTAAAATATCTAATTGATTTCCTGATGTTTTTCTTTTTGTATCTTTTAGAATCCAAATGATAATGATTATCCTGTTGATGATACTTTAATAAAGATCTGTGATTTATTTATATGTATAATCGGTCGATATTTTGGTCAATTTGATTTAGCTGATCGAAATGATTAAAAATAGATTTCAAAAAATTGATAAACTACTCTATTTATTTATAACTATTGTTTCTTTTTTTTTGTTTCTTGTATCAAATTATATTATTATTATTTCAGATGAAATCTTTAAAATATATTTTTCATTCAACAACAATATGTCGAATGCAAACATATATTTTTTCTTCTCATCATCGATATTTATCTACAAAGAAAGAAAATAATACAGAATCTAACACTGAAATAGGTCCATCAGCACCTGAACTTCAAATAAATAATCTCACTGGTGATCATGAACGTAAATTGAAATATATCATTTTTTTTTTTGTTTTTGTTTATTTATAATTTTAATCAATTCTTGTAAATAGATATTGTGGAAATTGCTCTCAATAGAGCTGAACGACGTAATGCTCTTGGTAAACAATTACTCAGTCAGGTAGATAAGTATTAGAGAAAAAACAAATAATTATTTTTAAATGTCTTTGTATTTTTATTATTTTTTTGTTGTCTATTGATTTAGTTGGATGCAACAATAGACAGTGTAAAAGATAATAATAAAATTCGATGTGTACTTTTTCGTAGTTTGGTTCCAAATGTATTTTGTGCTGGTAAATTTTGTTTATTAAGAGAAAAATTCATAGATAAATTTCTTCTTTTCTTTTTTTTTTAGGTGCTGATTTGAAAGAACGATTAGATATGCCTCAAGAAGAAGTAGGACCATTCGTATCAAAAATTAAAGAAATATTTTCTAAAATATTCGGTCTACCAATACCAACCATTGCAGCACTTGATGGTGAATCATAAATTTTTATTTTTTCAATCATTTTATATTTATTCTATTGAAGAGAGAAGCTGTTTAATAAAAACAAAAAAAACCACAGCGACTATAAGGTTTAGACTACAGAACGAGATATGTATAGGCTTCTACAAATATTTGAATTGAGAGAGTGTCTACACACTGCAGCGGACATGAATGTTCACATAAAAATATACACTGCAGAGATGAAATCAGTACTGGTCATCGGTCAATTCAATGGCCGTATGAATTTTAGACTGGTGGCGTCTCCAATGCATCGGATCCGAACTAGTGGCGTAACCAAAGTAGGGCTAGGTTGAGCTCCGCCCAACCACCGGCGTCAACTTCATCAGGCAAGGTCTCCTATCATCCCACAGATCTCATTCGCCTGAGCCCAATCGCCAGACATTTAAGCGACGCTAAGCCCTATCACCGCCAAAATCCTAGTTACGCCACTAATTCGAACTCTGCTCAGTGTTCGCATATTATCCTGCTAACCCAGATGATGTCGGTTATTTGATTTCTAATCCCTATTAAGTTTTCCTTTCTTCTTGTGAATTAAGTAAAAATGATATTAGTTAAAATCCCATCCGAGTTTTTAAATTCTCAACTTGTCTAATTCAGTGCTTACAGCAAGAGTACTCATCTCTAATCATACATTCTTAATTTAATAACAATGATTTTATTCGTCTAAGGTTTGGCACTTGGTGGTGGACTTGAATTAGCCTTAGCATGTGACATTCGTATAGCTGGTAAGCTTTTAATATATTCAATATACTATCAAACTATTTTAATTTTTACAGCACATACAGCTAAACTTGGTTTAACAGAAACTAAACTTGGTATTATTCCTGGTGCTGGTGGTACTCAACGTTTACCTCGATTAATTGGTCCATCAAAAGCTAAAGAACTTATTTATACAGGTTTGATTTTACTAATTAAATTTTCAAGCTTTTTTTTTTTACAAACAAATAATTTGTAGGACGAATTTTAACTGGACAACAAGCATATGAAATTCGTTTAGTTAATGAAGTTGTAAAACAAAATGAACAATTAAATGCAGCATATCAACGTTCACTTGAAATAGCACATGAAATTGTTCAACAGGTTTAGTTTTTTTTTTTTTACAAATATTTTTCTATTTTTTTGATTTAATAGGGACCATTAGCTGTTCGAATGGCAAAACAAGCAATTAATAAAGGTCTTGAAGTTGATCTTCAAACAGGTCTTGATGTTGAAGAAGGTTGTTATGATACTGTATTAACATCTGAAGATCGTATTGAAGGTTTAAAAGCTTTTCAAGAAAAACGAAAACCTATTTATAAAGGTGTTTAAATACACTTGTTGCTTCTTTTTTTTTATTATCCTCTTTTGATTTTTTTGTGTATTGTATTTTTATTTCCTTTTATTTTTTTTTCTTCTCCCATAAAAATCTAACAAAAAAAAAAAAAATCTTCATAGATAATATTCGAAATACTTTTATCATTATGTATGAGAATCTTTCATGTAGATATATATATATATATATTATGGTTGGTTATGATCCAGAGAAAAAAAATTTAACAAATAAACAAATCTTAATTGCTAGTACGACAGGAAGTTCTATTGCACGTTTTCTTTTACAACCAATTGATGTTGTTAAAATTCGTTTACAAGTAGGATAGTAAACAAATAAAGAATTTCATATAATGAAAATATATAATATTTATGGTATATAGCTTCAAATTGAACCTATTCGACATATACAAGGTTCAAAATATTATAGTCTATTTCAAACTATTCGTTTGATACATTATGAAGAAAGTATACGAGCATTTTGGAAAGGTCATATTGCAGCACAAGTTCTTTCAATAACTTATAATTCTACTCAAGTAAATTTTACATAATAAAAAAATTTCTTTGTTCTTATGTGTTTTTTTTTGTAATTATTTATAGATGTATGCATTTGAAAAAGTAACTAAAAAATTAGGAGAAATTTTTCCTATAACAACATCTTCACCAACAGCTAAAACAGTAACACATTTTATTACTGGATCAATTGCTGCTAGTATAGCTGTAGTTAGTTGTCAACCAGTAGATATTCTACGAACAAGATTTGTTGGACAAGGCGAACCAAAGGTTTGTCTATGAGACTTTTGTTTTTTGCTCATCATCTTAGTATAAAAGCAAACTAAACATTATCAAAAATGTAAATGTATCTCAATAAGTTTATTTTTATATAAACATCTATTTATTCTGAGTAGTGAACATTAATTTCTGGATCAATGAATAATAACAATTTCTATAATGTGAGTAACATATGTTCTCTGTCATTCATATGCAGAACGAGAAAAAAAAATAATAGCATATGAATAGCATTATTATAAACAATCATGAAACATCTATAAAAAAAAAACAAAGTGGATAAACAAATTGTACATATTTAAAAGAGGAAAAAAAATGATATTATATAACATCAATAGTACTTCGTGTAACATCTTGTTGTGTTTGTGTTACCCATGTAAAAAAAAAGAAATTGCATAAAAATCACAAAAAGAAGAAAATCGACTTTCGCATCACTCTTTTTGTTTTTTTTGTACATAGATAACAGTTAGTATTATCAAGCCATGTCAATTCGAATTGCTTTATATCTAATAAAAAATTTCGAAATTATTTAAAAGAAGAAAAAAGAATCATATTGTAGAGTCGAAAAGTGTTTGTTACTACTGAATGATCATAAGTCGGGAAAAAAATAGAAATTACAAACTTAAGTTTTTTCTTTAGAAAAATATACTGTTGAATTCACTACAAATTTCTATTTAAAAATAATTGAACTAAACATTTTTATAGATCGTACAATTAACATTGTATGATATTTGCTGTATTTCTATCATGCTGTTGCCACAATGTAACAGGTATTGAGAAGGTTATGCTTTTATTTTTAATTGAATATCAAAATGCTCTTTCCGAATTATGCATAAATGTTTGATTACAATGTATTTTTGATGAATGGGAATGGCTTGTTTGAGCTACTACAATAAAATAAAGTTTTTGAACAAAGTTCAAGTTCTTATTTCGTTTGAATTATTTTATATTGCATGTCACATTTGAGATCTAAGTGAAAAATAAAACCAACTTGATCATAAATGAAATTAGCAGAATACTTATTAAATAGGACTCGTTCTAAACTATACTTAGTATGTTAGTGTAAATTTACGATCATTCTATTGCAATATATCGATAGTTATTCTCTTTTCGTTTATCTATTATCGGTTCTTTTGAGTCCTGATGATCTATGGTATCTGTGAAAACAAAAAGTTTTGTATCATATTAACAGGCCTCGCAGCGTGTGTACTTTCCTGATTTTTTCCTGATTTTTTAAAGGTGTCCTGATTTTCCTGCTTTTGACTGAAAAACCTGCTTTTGTCCTGATTTTTCAAGATTTATCTCTATAGGACCACATATACGTCATTTTGATGTTTTATTTTGTTATACTCAACGTTTCTTAAAAATTTTATGAAAATATTTGTTGAATATTTTCTATAAAAAGGAAGATGGTACTCAAATTTTTATTCTGTCCATTTTTTTCTTGTATAATCACTTTAAGAATCGATTATTTCGAATTAATTGGTTTTTGAAAGCAGCTATTTTATCATTAGTAATTATCACCAGTACTTCGGCGGTATTTATATCATACAGTTCACGACCGTGGGTAGTTGCATTAAATCTTGTATTCCCTTATTTTAACATTTTAGTCGATTTACTAAAGTATTCTTGTAAACGCTTTTATTCGTTTATCTATAACATGGTGGTTTTATATGTGCGAAGAGCAGGGATATGAAGAAGAGGAAAAATAGCAGAATGGGGACGGAAGCGTGATGCAGGGAAATGGTTTGAGTGCCGAAAAGATGGTTATAGAACGTTAAACACTGCGAAAATGCGGATTTTTCTTATTTCTTTTTACAGCTATTTTCCTGATAAAAATGCGATTTCTACTAGAAACAAATAAGACTCCAATAGTGAAGGATGCCCCCTTCCGTAGGCCACGTATCTGAGAAAAAGAAAACGTAAACACAATGCATAATTAGAGATAGCGAACGAAAAGGAAAAAAGCAGAACTCGAAGCACGTATTCGGCGAAATATAATATAGTAATTCCAATGAACTATCATTGATCGACATACTTTTGTGCAGCTTTCATCCTGAACAATAGCACTATGATAAGACTTAAAATGTCCTGATTTTAATCGAAATTCCTGATTTTTTTCTAAAATGTGTCCTGCCTATTTTCCTGATTTTCAGACATAGGCCGCTGCGACCTCTGAATATTAACATTTTGATGATCATGTCTTATGTTTGTTCATAGTAGGAAAATCTTGCAATTGTTTCTCACACATTATGAAACATGTCGAAGATTACTTTTTCGACTTTTCAATAACAAATAAATCAAGTAATTTTTGTAGATAATTAGTTTGTAATTTTTAACAATATTTATCTATAAATTAGATCTAACTCATTTCTATATGACTATTTTATTCTTGTTATTTATGAAATATCTATTTTTATTTAGATTTATCATTCATATATTCAAGCAATAAATCTTATTTGGATTCGAGACGGTTTTCATGGATTTTATCGTGGTTTAATACCAGCAATTATACTTTATGCACCTGTTTCAGCACTAACATTTGGTTTTTATGAATTATTTAATCGAGCATGGAATCATTTACCAATTCAAAATATTGGTAATTCAATTTTATTAAATTTAATTTTTATGTCGTACTTTTTGTTTTTTTGGAAATATATGAATAGATTCTATAAAACATGTATTTAATGGTGGTGCAGCTGGTGTATTAGCTAAATTTGTTGTTTATCCATTTGATTTAACTAAAAAACGACTTGAAGTTGTACAATTTGAAGAAGCTCGATCAAAATTTGGACAAGTATATAAATACATAAATTTATATTAATAATAAATAATTATTTTATATATTGAAAACTTTATTTTTTAGACACGTATATATTCAGGTATGATAAATTGTATATCAGAAATAATTCGAAATGAAGGTTTTACTGGATTATATAAAGGTATTACACCAAGTCTTATTAAAGCTTATTTATCAACAGCTGTAACTTTAAGTATTTATGATTCTATTTGTAATCATTTTCGTCAAACAACATCTGATTAATTTTTCTCATTATATTGATATATATATATATACATCTATTATTTTTGCAAGACTTTGTTTTGTTTTGTTTTTTGTTTTCAATTTTAAATAAAATAAAAAAAAAAAGTGCTGAATGTTCTAATTCATCAAATATAACTTCTATTTTAATATAGAATTGATTAAGACTTATATGGCATAATAAGTTAAAGTAGGTATCAAATTTTCTTTTTTTTTTCTTAGAAATAAATCAATGGAAGTCAAAATTTTAACTAAGATATTCAATTTCATACACAACTTCATAGCTGTAAAATTATAGCATGAGTACCAATGAATGATTACTAGTTCCATTTTCTCTCGCTTTCTCATTGTGAATAGCAGTATGTGTATGTGCGACACTTTGCGACATTGGATCAAGAGAAGAAATGATGCTCTCTTTTCTTTTTTCTTGAAGTATTACGTAAGATAAAAAAAAAAAAAGAAGAAGGAAGTATTTATAAAATGGAAGGTGTCACTCTTGTGTCACAGCTGAGAAACAAACTTAGTAAGTTGTAGGGTATATTTGTTGACAAGGTCAATATTATTAGAAGAAATTGGTTTCGTTTGTATTTCTGTAGTAAGTTTTTTATTATTATAAAAAATAAAATACATTCTCAGATTGTTGAACTGAATGTCAGATAATGGAATGTTTCACTTAGAAAAAGAATAGTAAATGTATTTGATTGAAATAAAAAAAAAGAAAAAATGGATACGATCATATTGAAAAAATAATTTTCTATTTCGATGAATTACTATTTAAGTTAAAATTACAAACTAGAAAATGAATTTTTTTCCATATCTAGATTTTGTCTTTACTTAAAATGAATACTTATATAATTCATATGAATTTAATGGTTTAATATATGATTGAATGAGGTACAGTTGTGATTTCTGAATAAAAAAAAATTCAAGAAAAAATAGTTAGTCTTTTCATAATTCTAATTCTTATCAGTAAAATGTCTATAGACGTATAATTATTTATAGTTTTCTTTTATTAACAATTATTTTATCTATTTTACATAGTAAACTTATTCTTCTATGAATATAGTTTTCCAAAAAAAAAAAGTGTCCTTGACATATGTTCAAGTAATTACTCTAATGATTATGATCTTTTTTTTCGTTTAAGAAGATAACTTGCGCTAAATATACTTATATTAATAGTACTAAAAAATGAATTTATTAGATTGAAACTCTATGACGTTTTAGTTGAATATTGGATGTGAAATAATAATAGTCTTAATATACCTGTCATTTGTTATGACAGATCATATTGAAAAAAAAAGAATTTGTCGTCACACAATTGAAAAAAGAAATGTTGGTAATAGCATAATTAATTCTCTATCTATCCCATAGGACTTGTATTATACGAATATGAAATGTTTTGGCAAACAATTCATTAAAGAAGAAAGAAAATTTGTTTTGATTTCGATCGAGAATAGTTTTTTTCTGTTCACTTAAAAATATTGATTTACTAATAACATATTTCTTTTATTATATTTTACATATTTAATTAATAATGTTTTTAGTATTTTCATTTTTTCCGAAAAAAAAAATTCCTCAATCAATGTCAACAACAAATTCTACACACAAAACATCTTGGCGACATCGTCGTTTTTTGCGTTTTTTTCGACGTGAAAAACCATCAATGATTAATATACCATATTCATATCAATATATGATGCGTTTTCGTATGTTATGTCATTGAGGTTTTTTTTTAATTCTTAACATTGTTTTAATTCTTTAGCACGATTGCCTATTACAGTCCCACCACTTGTTCCGACATTAATGTCTTATCGATGGTATGTTTCTTTATTTTATTTCTTTTTCTCGTGGAATGTTTGTATTCGGGCGTTTCGTACTAAACTATCATAGTTATTATTGACGTAAAGCTTGCGTATAGAGCAAATGACATTGTATTCGAAATGATAAAACAAGAAAAAAAAAAAAAGAAAAGAAAGAAAGAAAGAACTAAAGAAAATGAGTAAGTGAGATTATAGATCGAAAAGAAGGATTAAGTTTATGCGCGTGCAATCGAACGAATATACAAGCAATCGTTTAGGCACGTTCAAAAAATGCAAACAATCAGTCGACTACCGCGTAATTGACACGCAGCTGTTTAACGCCTTTTTTTTGTGTTGTAAACATCTTTTCTTCTTCTTTTTTTTTTTTTTTTTTTTTATTATTATTATTCTCTTCCCTATTGTCTTTTGTGTGAATATACGATCACTATTGATAGGTAGTGTCAAGGCAAAAAACAGGAGAACGAGAGAGAAAGAGGTGAGACAGACGCGTTGCCATTATTCTATATGTGTGTATGTCTCGTATTTGAACATGCTCATTCTGCTTTATTCAACATCATTTGTTATAATTCTCGAATTTCAAATTGAATATCATCAATCAACAAACGAAAATAAATATTCATTTCTTATATTTAATATGTGGTTTTTTTCTCGTTGTATAAGTATTGATTCTTTAAATACTTGTTTTCAACAACAAAAAAATAAAACAAGTTATGATTTTTGTTTATGTCGTGGAGGTTCTGGTATTTTAGCTAAAAGGTAAGAATTATTAAAAAAAATAGTAGGAACAGATTAAAGATGAGATCAATAATCATTTCTATCATTAAATCCATTTTCTTCCTGTTCAATAGTTCATTTACTTCCGACTCATATCTTTTCTATAGAATCTATTTGCTCAATATTAAAAAAAAAAAAGAAAAACTATTTTGATACGCATGAAAAATTACAAAAACCGCTTACTGAGTATTATTTTTCGAGAGATATCTGAGGCGGAAGTACCAACATGTGGTGCGAATAAAACGCTTTTTCATTTTTTTTTCGATTGGTTACGAGAATCATTGTTATGAAGGTCCTCAACTCATCATAGTGCAACTGTGCATCTCAGATTTTGAAATTTTTTTGGGTCTATAGTCAGACAAAATCGGTCATTCAAAAAAAAATAATGTTCGTATTGAATATCTTCTATTACCAATTTGTTTTTGTCGAGTGTAAAGAGCAAGACAGTTCTTTAGAAAATATCGAAGATGTTAATACTAAGTCACAGAAAACTAATGATATTAGTATCATTCTACTTAAAAATGTTCATTGTTTTGCTTCTCTGTTGAAATATCATACAATCTTGAGATGATTTTTTTCAAGTATCAAATCATTTTTGAATCAAAATTTTACTCATCAGATAAGTTATGAATATCTACGATGTAAAAGAAATGTTGAAGTATATATAAGATAGAAATTTGTACTCTCATAGACTTGTGTATCAATCACAGTTCTTTACAATATTATGAACTACTTTTTTTTGTTGTACTACTAAAGGATTAAGTAAAAAGAGGGTGAAGAAATTGTGTCTCAAAATAGATAAAATAAAACGATCTCCTTGTAATTAGTAACAACATCTACATCGTATTTCATATTTTAATCTCATATGGGTTACACTAAGAACTTTTCTAAATAAATACTACAAGAACAACAGAAAAATTAATTTTCAAATTTCGATATGAAACTTTGTATAGGAACAGTTCGTAATGAAAATATCTTATTGTAAAAGTTTCAGATTAGTTCGATTACACTATTTTATATAAATAACATGCTTATATAATAAATCATTATAATTAAAGTCTATTTCTATTCAAAGTTTTCAAGTCAAAAAATTTAGTTTTCCTTTGATATTAATATTTTCTAAAAATTCATACAAACATATATAATTTCGAAGTTAAAATCAATTTGATATATTCTTTAATAAAAAAACTTCTAAATTCATATTATAATATATAGGAATGATGATGATGAATGTGAATCATTACCAAAAAAACATTCAAATGATAATCATTATCAACAACATATACGTCGACGTTTACCAAAACGTTATAGTGATATAGTTGGTCCATCATCAAATAAAATTTATCTTCCAAAACGAGATTCAATTAATCGAAATAAACAAACAATAAATTCTTTATTACAATATAATCATCAACATACATCATTTAAAAAAAAATCTAATGATGGTTTATATATAATTAATTCAAATAATAAAAAATCTATTGATCTATTATCATCATCATCATTATCAAAAACAGATATAAAAAATCATTCAATTGTTACACGTCGATATAATAGTAAAAATAAATGTTTATTAAAAACAAATGCTGTTGATCTTCTTGCACATCGTATGCAAGCAGCTATGAGTACAGAATTAATGCATTCACTTGATAGAAATTTTGTTTTTGGTGATAAAAAACAATTAACAAATTATTCAAATATTAATCGTTCACAATCATTTCATATATCAACAACATCATTTGATCAATGGCAAGATAAATCATTAGAAAAAGAACATTTCTATCATGTTATACCACGTATAAAACATCATTTAGATGATGAACAAAAATCTATTGAAACAATATCATCATTCGATGAATTAACACCTGATTATGATGATGATATTATTATTCGACGAATAAATAATAATAATAATAATAATGATGATATTGATGAAGAACCTATTATTGATTATGATGATTCAAAATCAATATTAATTCATAATATTGATGATAAATTAATAACACCTCCAACACTTTATGATCTTGGAGTTACATCATCTTTTATTGTTCAACAAACATCTATAACACCAAGTAGTGAAACTTTTACACAAGAACAATCATCAATACCACCAACACCACCACCATTACCAAATATAACAACAATACAACAAAAGAAATTAACATTTCGTTGTCGTACTATTGCTGATAGAATAACAGCTGATCATAAACTTATTTTAAAAGATGATATAGAAACAATAACAGAAGTTCCAGAAGAAAAATCATTAGGTAATTTTCTTGATAATCAAAAGTTTATGTCATTAGATAAAATAGTTTACAGCATAAAAGTCTTACTAGGAAACATGTTCAACTGTCAAATCTCTTTTGAGTTCGAACTTTGTACATAAGATAGATTCTAGCGAGTTATGAAAAATCTCAAGAGATTAAATCGCCTTAGGTCTTTTGTCCAGAGTTATAGGCATTTTATTGGAAATTTAGCCTAGAGAATAGTATATATGAACAAATTGAATGACGGCGTTTCAGTCTGAGATTTTGCCCACTGGCAGGTCTATTGGCGATTAGAATATCCTGAAAATTTCAGCTCAAAAGAACATTTCCTTCCGGAGATATTAAAGTCCCAAATATAACTCATATAGGACAACAAATGCTAGGATTTTCTGTTTTTTGGGATTTTAATATCGCCGGAAGGAAATGTTCTTTTGAGCTGAAATTTTCAGGATATTCTAATCATCAATAGACTTGTCTATAAGCAAAATCTCAGACTTAAACGCCGTCATTCAATTTATTCATATATACTATACTCTAGGCTAAATTTCCAATAAAATGCCTATAACTCTAGACAGAAGGCCTAAGGCGATTTAATCTCTTGAGATTTTTCATATCTCGCTAGAATCTATCTTATGCACAAAGTTCGAATTCAAAAGACATTCGACAGTTGAAAACGTTCCTTCGTAAGTAGGTGATTAGAATATTCTAAAAACTTCAGCTCAAAGGGATGCCTTTCCTCTACGATATCGAGTATATAATAACTACTGATATCTTACACGATAAGCCATAGAAATTTTTAGAATATTCTACTGACTATGAGACTAGCCTCTGAACAAAACTCAAATGTTTACAAAGTGCCGTTCGACACTTGGAAATACTCTTTCGTTAGCACAAAATATTAGCTTATTTATTAATCACTAAAAGACAATGGATTGAGAGTCAGAAGTATAATTTTTCGTTGCTGCTGAATATATGTTCAGATTTTCTTTCTGAAGTACGATTGAACAACTATCAGTAAACTTTGTGAAGAAATCCAAAACTATGCCTGTAAAAAGCAAAATAATGGCTTGGACATAGTTCTTAGTTTGCTTCGTGGAATAGCTTTAATTCAACATTAGTTTTATAGTTATCGAAAATAAGAATCCGAAAAACTTTCGCCTGCATCTCTCGATTCCATATCGCATCTTCATGTCAGATCACGAGAGTTTATCTACAAAAATACAACAAATACTCATATATTTCTTTTTCTTGTGAATTATTAGTTCCTCAAATTGAAGAAGAACAATCAAAAACATCTTGTCCTAGTTCAAGTGTTACATTAAAACCTTGTTATTTACATTTATCAAAAGAAATATTAGAAAAAACAACTTTACGTAAAGTTTCTCATCCAATTTCACGTTCATATTCAACTTATGGTTCAATGTCACAATTAAATGATCATGATACAGAATCAACAACATTACATGGTAAAACTTCAATTATTAATGAACAATCTCTTGATGGTTTATCATCATCAGCAGATACTTCAATTATTATTGAAAATGAATATGATCATCGAACATCATCTAAAATTTATAATGATTATAAACGACGTACATCATCAATAACAATACCAAAAACTAATACATTAAATAATAATTATAGTCATTCAGCTATAATACATCCAATGCATACACATATTGGTGTACGTTCATCAACAACATCATCATCATCAAATGATAAATTAAATGATAATACATTATCAAATAAAAAAATGAATCTTTGTGTTATTAATCAACTTAATGAACATTTATCAACACGTTTTCGTCAACAACAACAACAACAACAACAACAAGATATATGTTTAACGAAAAATAATAATAATAATGTTCTTTTAGAAAATACAACTAATCATCAAAGTTATGATTCACCACCTGAACAAAGAATAGATGACATTCAAACAAATCTATATGATGAACCTCATCATATTGAAATAACAAATTCATCAACAATAAAATGTTCTGATATACCAACATCTTCAATACCACTACCACCACCACCACCACCACCACCACCGTATGTATTAATTAAAAATATATTTGAGTTTTTTTTTTTTTTGGTTTTTCTATATAAACAAAATTTTAATTTAATTAACTATATTTTAAAAGATTTCTTAGTACTTTTATTTATTGATCAAAAGTTCTATGTCAATGTCCTTATCACAAAAAAAAAGAAATAAGAATGTACTCGATTGATTCGTTTGATTTAATCTTAATTCTATTCTCTATAGATATATTAATCGAATATAAATATAGAATAGATGAAATAAAATATTAATCTTTATTGAACATGATATATATTTTTTTGTATGTGTGTTCTACTGTCGTATAAAATTAATTATTATAATAGTTTAGTGTTAATCAATATATATAACTTAATTGAAATCTAATCAACCAAATATTTATTGTTTTTCGAAAGAAAAATTCAATCAATAATAAATTGATTTATTCCACTTCGATAGAAATCTCGTGATTGAATTTAAAAAAAAAACAAAATAATCTATTTCATATCTGTAAAAGAGTAATATTTTATTATTATTTAAAAAAAATTTATACATTTATTTTCTTGAATAATAAAATTTATTTATTAGATAAATATTATACAACAGTTATTCTATTACAGATTACCAATTGGTGGTTTTCGGCCAGTTCTATCACAATTAAATCGTTCATTAAGTTCTCAACGAACATCAATAATGACATTACCACGTGAAACAAATAGTTCTGAACGTGGATGTAGTACAGGTACATCAACAACTTCAAGTAAATTATCTGATGCACGAATACTTCGAGAAGTAAGTGAAATAATATTAATTGATTTGAAAAACACAAAAAAAAAAAAAGAACAACACAAATCCTAATTCATAATTTAATATATAGTTACGTACAAATCCATTATTTGCAAAAGCTAAACAACATCTTGAAATAGAATCAGATTTAAATAGTCGACAAACAGCAAATGAATCACCATGTTATGTAAGACTTGATAAATGTTCGAAAGGTATTTTATCAACAATTGAAAATAATAATTCAAATGAATTATTAAACAATAATAATAATAATAATAATAATACGAATGTAGAAACATTTATAATGCGTCCTGATGAATTAAATACAATTATGAATAATACAATAAAACAAACAAAATTATTGAACAGTACAACAAAAGATCTAAATCAAATTAATTCAAGAACATTGATGAAATCCTTTCAACAAAAACAATGTCGACAATCAGAACTTGAACTTATATTTCAAGTAAGAATAATAATACAATCTAATGTTTTTTTATTACTAAGAAAAAAAACTAACTCGATCTTTATTTTGTATAAATAGAATCTTCAGAACATAGAAACTATGTGTCATTGAATAATACTATATAATTTTTTTGTTTTTTTGTATGATCTGTTTTATATCTTTATTTATTTCTGTTTGATTACAAACATAGAACAGATCTGTAATTTATCGAATCGATAGTTTTCAATTGATATTCTGTTTTTTTTTTTGTATTTTTAGAAACGTGCACAACGCAATGAACAAAATCCGACATGATGAATAATTATGATTATTTTTGTTTTGTTTTTGTTTTCTTTCCTAATTTCAAATAAAATGCATTTAGATTCAGTGAAAATCTTTTATATATATATATATAATGTGTCGATTATCAAAGACATGTTACTCTTGGCATAGAAACATCACGACAATTACAATAATCAAGAAGAATATTAGTTTGTGGTTTATTATTGAATTGTTCTTCTTGTTGTTGTTGTGGTTGTGGTTGTTGTTGTTGTTGTTGTTGTTGTAGATTTATATTTCTATGAGAATAACTTGTTAAAAATCGAAGTTTTGCTTGATTTTTATTTTGTAAATTTATTAAAACAGTTGCTGATGATGATGATGATGGAATAGTTAAATGTTTATTTTTATTATCGGAATTACAATCAAGATTTTCAGCTGATATAACTGATGATGGTCGTTGACAACGATAACGTAATAAATGTAAATTATGATATGACATCAAAAAGGTTCTTAAACGTGTTGGAAAACATCGACATAAATATTTAATAAATGCACGGCGAAATTCACGTGAAGAATAAGCATAGATTATTGGATTTACACTGGAAAAATAAAAGCAATATATTTATATATTAATATTGGATAGAATATTTACCTTGAATTAATATAACCAAGCCAAGTAACCAATTGGAAGAAAAGATCATTTCCGATTAAAAATTCTTCTATTCTATTTAAAGGAGTTTTTCCTTGGAGAAATGATTTTGTTATAGCAGTTAGAGGATTATAAACAAAAAAAGGTAACCAACATAGTACAAATATTCCCATAACATAAGCAAGTGTTACTGTTGCTTTTTGTTCTTTAGAAAATTTTGTTAAACGTTTACCAAGTGTTTGACGTGATTTATCTGATGATATTTGTTTTTTATTAATTGTTATTTGATTATTATCATTTGTTATTGAATAATGTGATACAGAATTATCTGTATATGATGATTCTCCATCAATTAATATACCATGATATTTACCACGATGTATACGTAAACATACATCCGATGAACCATTTATTATTGTTGAATTTTCTTTATTTATTTTTTGTTTTGGAATTCTTGTTTTTTCTGTTGTTATTTTAACACCTGTTTTAAATGCATGTAATTGTTTTATAGCAGCACGATATATTCTTATATAAACAAAAATCATTACAAATAATGGTATATAAAATGATATTAATGATGATACTAATATATAATAAATATCATCAGGAAAAAGACAACGATCAATTTGATATTGTGTTACAACTAAACGCCAATAGGCAATAGCAGGAAATGAAATAAAACCTAATATTAAAAGAATAGATAAATTAGAAAAAAATTTCTTTTTTTTAAATTTACCTGAACATAACCAAACAGCTGCAATAAGATAAGGCCAACGTTTAACAAAAAATGCACGATGATATGATATTGGATTTGTTATTGCTGAATATCGATCCAAAGCAATAACACATAAATCAAGTATTGATGCTGTACTTGCACATACATCTATTGAATGCCATATATCACAATATGTATTACCAAATGGCCAATATTCACCATAGATGACTTGAATAATAGCAAATGGCATGACAATTAAACCAACAAATAAATCAGCACATGCTAATGATGCCATATAATAATATGTAGCTAATACAAAAAAAAAACATTTTTTTTTTTTGAAAAAGATAATTTGAATGTTTATAATATTCATTTTAAAATAATTGAATATTAACAGCAAAAATTTTGTTTGTATGTTTTTTTTTTCTTTTATGACAAAATAATTTAGTTTTTCGTATATGATAGTGTAATCCTTATGGGAGTTAGATGTGAAATATGATTTACATACTATTGCTAATCAACGAAAGATTCTTTTATTTTATATGAATATTTTGGAACACATATATATTTCTATCAATCTTTTTCTTAATCTGACAGACATGCAATAAGGAAGTAGTTCATCTAAAATATAACGAGGTATTATTCATATACGATCTTTCATTTTATGTCAACAACAACATATGTTACGGTCTGTGATAGTCTATTGGAAAACATTTGTCGCGATCTATAATGATCTTTAACAGACGTTTGTGATGGTTTCTAACAGGCTATTTTGATAATTTCTAGTAGATGTCTGTCACAATCTGTTCGAGAGAGAGAGAGAGAGTCCAAAATTTTTACCCTAATACTTTAATACTCATTTTTAATCGTATTTTACAAAAATATTATTATGTATCTTCTTCTAAATAAGAAATTTTTCTATATAAAGACAGTATAACTAATTCTGATGCTTGTGATTACAATTTCATGTTAAAAAATATTCATATCAGATATATATATATGTATATTGAGGCATTCATAATTTAATGACTAATTGTATCTATGTTGTAAATATAATATTTATTATAATGATTTGATCTGCTCAGACAGATTTAAATAAAATCTTATTCAAAACAATATTTAAATAGATATAAAAAGTTGAAAATAAAATATGTACCTGATTTTAAATATCGTTCTTGAATAACAGCATAAATAACAAGTGCATTACCAAATACGGTAATAATACAAAAAAATGAAAGAAATATAACTAATATTGAATTTTTTAAATCAATATTTTGTTTTGTTTCATATAAAGAAATATTTAATGAATATTTAAAAATGTCTGTTAAATTGTGAGTTGTTAAATTGGTAACTATTGGCATTGAATTTTTCAAACAGATAAGAAAATAGAAAATGGATCATCATAATGTTTATCAACGTAATCGTTGTTCTTCTGTTGACATTTTTTTACAAGAGGCAAAATATCTAAAAGAAAAAAATTAGAAAAAGTATTTTCATCGACAGTCTATAATCTAAGTGTATGAAGAAATAAAACAACATAACATATCAAATCAAAAATCTTAACAATCATTTTACACACCCGCATAGTATCAGTAATAAATTGAATCCTGTCACATCATTGATAACAGTCTAAGATAAAAATAAGACATAAAATGTTTGCTATATAATGTCAAACATAATGCTTGTTTTTTCTCTCGCTAAAGACAACTATATCAATTAAGCCGAATAATTATGTAGTATTTTTTATATAAATAGTTTTATAATATAGGCATCCGACACCTCACCATTTGTTTATGATTCGCATATATGCAAAACAGTAGTGTGTAATTGAGAGTAGATTTTCTTTTGAGAATAGCATGTTTTCTAGTCTATATGAATGTCGAATAAGAAAAAAAAATGTGAACTATAGTAATGTTCTATCTCCACAATATGTCGATCAAGTTTATGTTAGACTTGTCAACCGACTATTTTAATATGCAAAAGAAAAAAAAAAAGATAAAAATGATTGAAAGCATCTTGTTTTATTAACGCGTAATAGACAATGTCATTCATGGTTAACTATTTTCTTAGAACTTTTAGTTTTCCTTTTTCTCAATGTTCTTCGTCTTATTTTTTTTGTTTTTTTGCTTGCTAACTGTTCATGTTTACACACTGTTTCATTATCATTTACAGACATGATTCTATAAATGTTCTATAAAATGAATAAGAATAACTTATATGTATGATAGTAATGAACATCTCGACATATTATACAATTAACATATAAGAGAAACTAAATTAAATTGTTGTACATTGTCATATTCGATAATGTAATAACAATGAATAGAGACTTTTTTTTTCTTTTGAATTCTAAGAAATATTTTTCTTTTGAATATTTACAAGTATTTTGTTCTATTTTTCTTTTTCGTTACTATATAGAAGAAGATCATATTTCCATCTGCATAAGAGTAAAAATATAAATATTAGAATAAATAAATTTTCTAAATAATTTATGAAAAAAAAAAAAAAAAAAGTAAGTCAAACAAATTGTTATCATAGAACTATTTGGATTCAACTGAAGCTGGAATAGTTTTGTTTGATTAGCTGAGAACAATAATAATTTTCTTCTTGTTTGTCTCATAATCACATGTAGACAACCAAAAAAAATTGATCAAAATCAAATGAAGATGATGTCCATAATTTATTGACTTCTATTGTTAGAAAACAATTTTATAGACTTATAATAATCAATTACCGAAATGAAGGTAATTTTCTACTACAATTTTAAATTAATCACAAAATAATTTACATCAACTACTTTATATTCTCTATTCAAGAAAAAAACTGATTTTTTTTTTTAAAATTTCATCGATAATAATATAGAAGAATAAATATTTATCAAAAGAGGAAAAAAAAAGTGAAAAAAACATTTTAGTCTTTGTAAGATATACTTCTATGTTTCTTTTTTAGAAACAACGCAGTTTACAATAACTAAATATGTTTGGTTTATTAAGAAAGACTATATTCAATTCTTCCTACCGGATGTTCGATTTCATAACAACTATAATAATGGAAGTCGGCTCTTTTTTTTTCTTTCTTTTGTTAAAGAGTTGAACGAGCCTATCAGTCAAAATATGAATGTTTATTATATGTAATAAAATGGTCATACTTTACTATTCGTCAGACGTACTTTCATATCTGCTAAATATCATTATAACTTTTCTTATATAGGTACATAGAAATGATATATAAGAAAGAAAAAAAAAAATTAATTAAATAAAGTAGAAAATCTACTTTTCATAGAAAATAATATAAAGAAAATCTTTTTTTCTAATAAAAACAAGTATCAATATATGAATCAAATGTTCTTATATATTTACTATTTTTTTATTAATTCATCAAACGAATATAAATGCATATTGTTCCGTTCAACTAAAGAAACTTATTTTAGAATGTCAATAATTAGATTCATATTCACTATATATATATATATGAAAAAGCCTAGTCAATATTATTTCAAAATCAAGTTGACATTCATCAACGATTTAATATAGTATATATCATCTAATACAAAAAAAAAATGGAAAGAATCTGATTTTCTTTTTTACATGATGTTAAATACTTGCTTCCGACATCCGATTTATTCTTCCTAGTTACATATCTTGTTTGACTATGTACGTAAAAAAATAA